GGAGGGATGTAGAGAGACTCTTGCGACTCTGTAGCCACCGTATCTTCATTGTATGATGCCGAGTGATTCGTAGAAAAGCTTTTAACAATAAATACTTTGTTTCTTTGTATCTCTTGCACTAACCTGATGTGTCTTAACAAAGACAGGCACAGTTGGTTTCTTTCTGCTCCTGATAATGTTCTCAAGTTTTTGGATTTCTGTTCACTTGCGTGCGCATACACACAGAGGGGCATACATATACAGGTTTTAATGGGACTTGACAAAGGTGAGAACTGTTGCTCTTTAGATCTTTCTTACGTGAATTTGCTTCTTCACTGGATTCCATCTTCAGCCATTTCCATACTGAGTAAGTGAGAAATCCTTACCATTGGAGAGGTCTGGCTCCTCTCTGAGTCAGGTGCTTGGTCATTTGGAGTACATTTTATCATTATCACTGTTATTAGTTATAGTCAACAAAAAAGTTGCAGCTGGGGCTAAAGCTTGGATGCTGAGAGGTGTACGAATTATACAGCTGCCACCTAGACCATGGTAGGAATTATGCAGATGCCACCTCAACAGGGCTCGTCCCTAGATTCCACTTTAATAAAACAATCGGAGTTTCTTCTTCTACTGTGTTTAATATGCCATAGTAGTTACAGCTCAAGCTGGGTGCCTCTGAAGAGGGACCCCACCTGTCGATTGTTACTGGATTTTATAGTCTCTGTAGGTTGCTTGATTTCCTGATAGCACTTAGGCTCATCCAATCCTGTTCGTGGAGTCTGGGGTCTTCTCTTCTAATTTTCTCCCGCAGCTTCCAGGCACCCTTTTTGTCTGTGTCTTGAGACATTTCCTTATCTTTTGTTACAGAATATCCTGTAGTTAAAGTTTTACTTATACTTCCTCATCTACCGGTTACATTTCCGTAGATAAAAACAAAGGTTAAAGTACAATTCATGTGGCCTAAGGCTTCATTTAGTCACTAGTGCTAAGCTCTGGCACAAATTAGTCTCTCACTACAGAGGAGCCTGGAGTAAGCTGTGCAAACAGCTAAGCAGCCTTCCAACAGAAGTACGATACAGCCAGTAATATTAGAAACCTTTGTCAGGATGAGCAAGCTGTAATTCACCAGCTCAGCGAAGAGGGGTTTGTTTCCGAGTTAAGGTTTCTTAGCCCAACAGACTGTCAAAACAGAATGATGTAAAGAAGTGGGATGGGTGAAGAGTCGAAAGAGAGAAGGGTGAAAGAAGAAAGGAAGACCTAGAATTACTTTAGCAACTCAGTGAAAGGGAAAGCAGAAGTAGTAGCCTTTATCTGAGAAGAAAGCAAACAGACTTGAAAAAAAAAAAATTCCTAAATGTTTATATAAATATTCCACCTAGCATGAGGAAAGTTCTATTTGGAAGGCTGTCTAGGAAATCTCAGCAGCTGAGATTAACAAAAGTTAATTTTGCCTTTGAAAAAAATGGGTCTCTGCACACTTCCTAATGGAGAAGGAAAAGCAAGTAGCAGTAACAGCAATCATCTTGTAGTAACAACAGTCCCATACATTTTATCCCTTTCCTTTTGGAGCAGCAACAAGGCAGGCTGTTTTTCCAGGAATCTGAGAGGAGGAATGCAGATTTTTTTTGTTTCCTGTTGCTTCTTCTTCCTCTCCTGTTCTGTCTGCTCCCCATCCCTTTTCCATTCCCCATCACTATTTTGCTCTCTTGTTTTTTTCTTTTTAAAAAGTTCCCTGTGCCTTTTCTTTCACTCCCTCATTCCTCTGTCTTGTGCTATGTCCCATTTTTGAGGCCATCAGGAGTGAGTTGTCAGAAACAGGTCCTCCAGCCCATCGCTGGTTTTACCTTCTCCATCTCTTTGTCAAAATCTGCATCTATTACTCAATCCCTCTCCCCTGTTCTCTGTCCTACTTTGTGTCTCTCCGTATGTCTCACTCCCTGTCCCCATCTTTAGCCTTCCTTCTTCCTCTCCTTTGTCTGTCCTTTTGTCCTGCTCCTTGACCCTATTTCTTCCTCTATCTCACTGTTCTTTTCCCTGTACCTTTCTGTCTCTGCTCCTCAGCCCTTCTCCCT